TCCTGTGTCCTTGGCATCTGAACTAGGACATGACATAATAACCCATGCTCAGGAAATACCTGTTAAATAAAGTTAATAGGTTGAGGGAGTGAGATCACCTGGTTCCCTGGCCAGAATGTGGGGTTTGATGTCTAGAGGCCTTAAGTTTGGTCTGTCTCAGTGGCTCACATACTTCCCAACGGAAATAACACCATAGCATTACTGATAGGCTCGTCTCATGAAGTCCCATGGGTGTTTTGTGAGAAGTTTGCTCTCAGCTGCACATGTCCCAAACCACACAGTGACTTCAACAGTAAGCAACACAATTGCCTTCCATAGTAGGAGAGACTTCCAGGCCCATGGCAAAGGAGTGGGGGGAGGGGGCGAGATGCCGGTGGTGAGCGGCTATGGGGGCACCGAGATAGGGAACGGATGAAGCAGGTCCATCATGGAGACCACAGTGCTGTGTGGGAGTGGTGAAAATCAATGGGAAAGGAGATCAAAAGAAGTAGGCAAGGCAGAGTGTTTACCACTGAGGAGAGCCAGAAAGAGGTGAGAGCAAAGCAGAGGGCTGGGGAGAGGAGGAGAGAAAAGAAGTGTACCTGAAAGCCAAGTTAGTGGCATTGGAGAAGTCCAGGTGGGTCCCTTGAAGTAAGAACCGTGTTTTGGCACCATCTGATAGGTAAAAAGTTGGTGAAGAACAAGTGAATGGATGATGAGGCACTGAGGCACAGCTAAAACTCCATCAAAATCGGGTTTATTAGCAAAGGAACACATGGGACAGATTCCCTTACGGGCAGGGGAAATGTCTGCGCATGGATTGTGAGCTGGGGCTTATATATGGGGGCTTCAGGGTGCTGAAGGCGGGAAGTGTTTTGGGAGAAATCAGGCGGGGGGGAAGCAGGAAAAGCAGGGCTTGTAAACCTGGCTCCGTTTGGTCTGCCAGCCAGGATCTGGGTCAGGATGTGTTAAGGGAAAAGCTGCTGTACTAAACAGCTCCTAAACTCTCTGGTTAACACGCAGGATCTGCTTGTCTTGTCTTTGGAGATCAGAGGAAAGGCAGGCTTCCTCTTAGAAGAATCTGTTTCCCTTGACTTCAAAGGCCAAGGTGCTTATCAGCTCAGTTCCCTTTTTTCAGGCTTCAAAAGTCCATAGGTCCCTGTTGGGGAGTGGGGGAAGCTGCTGCTGTTTGAAACCCTAATACTTTCCAGAGATTTCTGTATACCCTGGGAATCCCCTCCTTATCCTGAGAGCCATGCTGTGCCAAAGTTCCTGTGTGACCAAGGACAGGAAGGAAGGAAGGAAGGTAGTATCTCTTTACACCTGTGTATAAGTGAGGGTATATCAGTTACTTTTCTGTTGCTATGATAGAAACACCATGACCAAGGGAACTTATAGAAGGAAGAGTTTATTTAGATTACAGTTCCAAAGAGGCAAAAGTCCATCATGGCCGGGTGAAGGGGTTGGTGGCAGAGATGGCTGGAGTAGGAGCAGAAGCTAAGCATTTACATCTTCAAGCAGGCACAGGAAGCAGTCACTGGAGATCCAGAAAGGATTAAGAGCTCTCCAAGCCTGTCCCCAGTGACATGCTTCCTCCAGCATGGCCACACCTTCTAAGGCCTCCCAAAACAGTGCCACAAGCTGGGGACAAAAATGTCCAAATACTTGGAGCCTATGGGGGACATTCTGATTCAAACCACCACAGAGGGAAATCTTTCTCTGAAGCTCCTGCAAGTCCCATAGGTCCTGCTGCCTGGGATTTGTGTGACATGTCATAAGACAGGAAGACAAGATATATATTTCCTTTGAAATAGGAAAGAGCTTGTGCCATTAGGGAAGGAGGAAGGGAAGCAACTAGCTGTGGTGTAGACAGCTGACAGTGGCTTCTCCATGGACTATTCGTGATAATGGTGCTAAGCTGTTACTGGGTGCTTAAGAACTAGCAAAATCACATGGCAGAAGAGCAAAGTGAGATCCTAGCAGGTGATATTGACATATTTGTTCAGATACATGTATAAAACACGTGAATGCTCTTAGGTGGGGCTTACTGTCTCCTCCATGGTGCTCAGGTCTCCACATGCTCTGTTGCTTTAATCTTAGTTACTGTGCCTTCTATGCTACTGCTCCATCCTTCAAGGAATTTAGGTTTGCAGACCCTGCTGCAGAGCATTGTAAACCCATATTCAGGTAGTTGATTCTTAGAGCATGTAGTTAGAACTTGGACATATCAATGAAAAACAAAGTCTCTTATTTTCTTGGTAGATCCCCTTGACCCTGGAGGTGTCTATGTCCAGTGCTGCCTCTAAGGTATTAAAGCCAGTCCTTTGGACAATGCCTATCTCCCAATGTGGACATTCTCATTTGTAGACTAAAAGCAAGCAAGCAGAAAAAAGCCCCAAAGTACTCAATATCAGTGTTCACAGATCCTGAGTTCATAGACCTACAGTGATTTATGTTCTCTCTGACTCGTATCTTCCATTAATTTGAAACTTAGATATGCTCATGAGCCCATGAGCAATACCCATACTTTCTTCATCTTTCTTCCTTTCTCATTAGTTCCCTAGAGGGAAAGAAAGGGAGGGAAAAAGAGGGGAAGGGAGGTCATTGCAGGGGGGCCCATTTGCTTGAAAGAAGAAAGGAGAAAATGGAGGAAGGGAGAAAAGAGGAAGGAAGAGGAAAGAAAGAAAGAAAGAAAGAAAGAAAGAAAGAAAGAAAGAAAGAAAGAAAGAAAAGAAAAGAAAAGAAAGAAGGAAAAGAGGAAAATCCATCTGCTTCATTGTCCATAGATCTAAATTCTACCTTCTGGATACATTGGATTTCCAGTTTTCTAGGAAAAGGCTTACATTTATTAGTTTGGTTTCCAGTGTTCTCACAAAGAACTTTATTTGGTGGCTGGCCTGGAGCCATATGGGATTTTTTTTTAATATTTAATTTATTTTTTATTTTGTGTATGAGTGTATTGCCTGCATGTATGTGACTGCACCCATGTTGTGCAATGCTGCGGAGGTCAGAAGAGAGCTTCCGATTCCCCTGGAACTGGAGTTAAGGACGGTTTAGCTGCCATTTTTTATTTTATATGAATGAGTGTATTGCCTGCATGTGTGTGAGTGCACCTGTGCCGTGCAATGCTGCGGAGGTCAGAAGAGAGCTTCCGATTCCCCTGGAACTGGAGTTAAGGACGGTTTGTAGCTGCCATGTGGGTGCTGGGAATTGAACCCAGGTCCTCTGCAAGAGCAGTCAGTGCTCTTAACTACTAAGCCATCTCTCCAGACCCAGGATTGGGTTTTTTAAGGTAGTAACTAAGAGAATCAGTATTGCATGTTTGGCAGAAACAGGCTGTGCCTGTTGCTTAAATAATTATCATGTGATTTAAAGACTTGATTCATGATGGGAGGGGACAAGATTAAGGTCAAATCCATGTTTCCACATTTTGTATGCTGTGGTAACAATATCTCTGCATCAGAGCTGCATCTAATGTGTACTACTTGGAACTTGGGAGCCCCTAGGAAGCCCCTGTTCCCTGAGATTATGCCCCACCATCCTCTCAGGACTTGGTGTCAAGAGCAGTAGAGCAGGACAAGAACAGGCAGGATCACAACAGACCTGAGTAAGGTCAAGCCCTACAAATGGGGGGAGTTGCATGTGTTTTTGTCACCTGTGATCTTCATATCACCTATATTTTACCTCTAAAATGGAGGAAGAAAGCTGAGAGGGCATCTTATATTTTGAAACAGAAATGCTTTTCACCATCTTCCTTGGAGCATGTCTGTGATTTTCCACTTATGTATGCATGTGTGTGGACATCCACATATGCCTGGTGTACATGGCGGCAGAAGACAGCTTATCTCAGTGCACTGTAGAACACTGACTCCCAAATTTTTAGATTTTATGAACCAGGAATAGAGAAAAATGAAATACTGAGGAATACATACTGAGGAATTCAGTATGTATTGTTATGTTTTCCAAAACTATTTAAAAATTTAAAATTTAGCAAAATACACATAGAATTTGCCATCTTAACCATTTTTTAACATATAGTTCTATAGTGTTAGGTGTATTTATAAGCTAAGATAATTCTACAAAAAGAATAGACGGAGGGGCCCATATCTCTCCTCATGTTTTCAAAAAAAGAAAAAGTTTTCAGTATTAAAAGAGAAATAAAAGGCATTCTTGGTATAGAAAGCCCTTCCTCATCTGTGGTAGAATATGTAGAGAAAAATAATTATCCATAGAAAAATAATACTGTAGAGAAAAGCATAGCAAGGAGTTCTGTTATCATTTTCCAGATTTTAAAAAAATGCTAAATTTTTGTCATCTTTTCTTTAGATCATTCCTACTTAAAGGACTAGAACATGAGCTGTTTGTTACCAGGCTAAGGTCAGACAAAGAGCTTCTGCCAACATGAAGTCGCCACACCAGTAAGATCATGGCAGAGGCGGTGTTACCTTTCACTGGACAACTTTGTCCTTGAAGGAAGATATGTTTTGACTTACATCTTAGCATGAGCATTTTTCTATCTGTGGTCTAAGTGTCCTGTGCAAATAGTTCATGGACTGGCCCTAGTCAGGAGTCTAGCTCCAGATCTGGTTTTATTCTTAAAGAAGTACAAGTTGGTGGTCACAACTGAAACCTATGTAAATTCACTTTACATTTCTGTTTTCCTCTCTCCCTTCAAGTTAACTATATACTGAAGCTGCTGTATATCCTTCCCATCCATTTGTGTGAGCTCATCACAGTATGTAGTGCTGTTTCTTTATAAATAGAATCCTATTGGTTATAACCTTCTGCACTTAGTTTGGTTTTGTGCAACATTATTTTAAAGCCTTCTCTTTTTATACTTGTAAATTTTTCCTGCATTATCATTTTTGTGGCTACATTTGTCTGTCCTGTTGATGGATGTTTGCATTGTTTCTAGGTTTTTGCTAATACTACACTACACATTCTTATGAGCTTCTTTGTGCACAGAGGTGGAATCTTTTATAAGGGAAGTTACCTGGGAAGAAGGTCCCTGAGTCAAAGGTGAAAATCAGCACAAAATCCAGTAAGCACCTTAACCAACCTGGATGTTTGCTGTAGCTTTTCAGGTTAATGGGAATTGGGAAAGATAATGCTGTTAACCAATCATTAATAAATTTGGTTTACTGGACCACATTGAGAATTACTGATTGTATATCAATAAAAGGTTGAGTTCAAAGTCTAGCTATAATAGACACAATGTTCTGTAAGATTGTGTAAAGTACCTGTGTCTTTGGCTATGGGGCAGAGGCCAGCTGTGCAAGACTAGCCTTTCATTGAATTTCCTTCTTTTTGTGTGGAGAAAATGCTTGAAGACTTGGTCTGGGAAGCAGATGGAGCTGGGTGTTACTGTCTCTCAGACCCTGGTACAGATGCCTTTTTTGGTCTAAGAAAATCTCGTGAACCAAAACTTGGCCAGGCTTCTCAGCAGGCCTTTTTGAAGTGGTCATGCTGTTGATCAGAGTGAGATAAGCTAAGTTTCTGCCTACCTTTCCATTGTCTAGTCTGTGGTTTCTTTGAAACCACTGGGGAGATATCCAAGGAAGAAATGTGTCCAGGTCACATCAGACCTATACAGCATATCACCACCTTCCATAGAAAGCTGCAGTGGGTGGCAGCTGGTGTGACTCCCATTAGCATAGTAGGAACACAGCTTGGGTGAGCCAGGCTACAGGCTCAAGGAACAACTAACTGAGACAGTGTTCAATGTGCTTAATGCATTGTATTCTCCATTACTGTTAGCAAACAGTGGAGTGCCTTGAGCACTTTTTAGAAAATAGTAAGTGGGAAGACAACAATGAGAAAAGCTAGAGAGCTGTCAGAACAGTAGTGAGCTAAAAGCCTTTGCCATTTATGGAGTTCTGAGCCAGTGGAAGAAGCCAGTTGCTCAGCCATCCTCACATCCCACATGCTGGGTAAGGATAAGTCAGAATTGAATTGCACATGTGGAGAATCTGTGTTAAGGATCCAGGTGCTCTCTGATGAGTGTTGGTATGTAGTTGAATTTGTGAGCCATTGTAATATGCCAGCTATCAAGCAGACGTTTTTCCAGTGGTTTCCACCTGGAAGTCCTGGTGCCTTGGCTACGCAGCTACATGTTCATGACTATAAACCATTTTCTTTTTTAATTAGCTGTCAAAGCTTGAGAAACAGCAGCAGAGGAAAGAAAAGACCAGAGCCAAGGGGCCTTCTGAATCAAGCAAAGAACGAAATGCTCCCCGAAAAGAAGACCGCAGTGCCAGCAGTGGGGCGGAGGGCGATGTGTCTTCTGAGCGGGAGCCATAGATGAAGAAGCAGGAGCTCAGGTAGGAGGTTCTCCCCTGAACACATTTTAGGGGCACAGAAATGAGTTGAGGTGAGAATGGCTTTGGGGCAGAGTTCATCTTATGAACATTCGTTTATAGCATTCCTAAATGTACGACTCTCCAGGATGGAGAGAGATGTTGGCAGTAAGGTTGTGTTGTATTCATCAGGATGTGTGAAGGCAGAGTGCATGCAGGCGGTGGTATGCATCCAGTGGGCATGTGTGTACCCCTCTTGCAGTGCCTGACCCTTACAACCTCTGTGAGCTAGCCCACTGTCAGGCTCTATCAGTTTTCCTTTGCCATCCTGTCCCCTTTGCTCTTGCCCTTGGCCACTACAATGGAGACCGCTGCCCTCTGTAGCTGCCTCCTCCCACCATGGCCTGCCCTATGTTCTGCATCATTCCTTTCAGCATGTATGACATTTCCGATTTTTGTGTTGCTTGTTTATTTTTCTTTCTGTCTTTTTTTTCTTTTGAGATAGGATTTTGCTATGTAGTCTTGACTGGCCTCAAATGTACTATGTAGACTAGGCTGGGCTCAAGCTCCCAGCAATCCTCCTGCATTGTTTTCTGAGCACTGAGATTACAGGCATGTGCCACTACGCCCAGCTGACATTGCTAGTTCATTTTTCCTGACTTGATAGCTTCTTCTTTATCATTTCCATGCCCATTTTTTCAATGTAGCATTAAATCAACCACCCAGAGGCCTCTGATGGCCTTTTGCTCAAAATCTTCCCTCAGCAATGCCTCTGATTAGATGGACCCTGGACCAAACACTGGAGTACAACTGTGAAGGATCCAGGCCCTGACTCAGGAAAAACACATCCAAAGAGAAAAACAGAAACAGTTATATCATGACAAGGTACATTATGGTAGGGATGTGAACATGGTGTGGGGTAGAGAGGATTGTGGAACCAGACTTTGAAGGACACGTAGAACTGGACAGATGAGGGACAAGGGTAGGGAAGAGCTGCCTAAGGCAAGAAATGAGTAAGTATGTATTGACTTTTTGGTTATTAAAACAAAATATCTGATATAATAAAATTATAAAGAAAAAGTATTTTGACTCACAGTTTTGGAGGTTTCAGCCAATGATTTCAGCCAATTAATTGACCCTCTTAACTTTTGAGCCTGTGGCAAGGTGGCACATCATAGTGGGAACATGTAGTAAAGCCAACTGTTTATCTCATGGCCAGGAAGCAAAAAAAGGAGAAAGAGGCTAGGATTTTACAGTCTCCTCAGGAACACACCCCCAATAACCTGAAAGTCTCTTGCTGATCTATCTCTTAAAAATTCTACTGCCTCTTAATAACGCCACTGCAGAGACTAAGCCTTGAATATGTGGGATTTTGCGGTACACAAAGGATCCAATCTATAGCAAGATGCCAATGTTCATTTATTGGAAGGCAAGAAAGACAGATGAGCATTGGAAGAAGGGAAGTGAAGACTGACTGAAGGGTTGGGTAGAGGGATAGTTTCTGAGAGGTTAGAAAGTTGGAGGGTTGGGATCATTCAATATCTGGTTTGTAACTTAAGGGAATGTGGACTTCATCCTGGGGAGATAAGGAACCCCCCAAAGCTTTTCGGTATACAATATACATTTAAAAACATCATCATTCAGCCTTATGGGGTGAGACTGGAAGCAGATAGGCCAGTTTGGTGGCAACTGCAGAAGTCCAGAGAAGAAACAGTGGGCTATGGGAGAGAGGTGGGACTGTTTAGAATGAGGTATTGACAGAGTAAACACACAGATGAGGGACAGAGCATTAATAATACCTATTTGGAGTGACTTTAGTCACCTTGATTCTGTGGGGTTGGAGCTGAGGAACATCTTAAGCATGCGTTTTGAAACATTCAGCTCATATACTGGTTAAAGGAAATCTGCACACAGGTTTATCCTGGAGGTACCACACTGCAAGAGAGGTGGCTGCCAGTAAGGTGCTTTTCTGCCTTCTCTTCCTTTCTAAAGGGAATATCTATGTAATATGTCTATGGCCTTTGGAATATGCATGTCCAGATATGGAGATATATTAGTTATAGTTGTATGTGGTAGTGCCCACTCCCAACAGATAAAGGAATTAGTAGAGAGCTCAGAAAGCCTGGGCCATTGGCTCGCAGACAGTTTAGGGAGGCTGTGAATGAATCCTCTTGTGTCTTGACTTCCACTACACCTTCCCTCTATCACTGTGTTTTTTTCTAATGTGCCTATAGGAGATGACAGCACTGTGATAACTGGTCTTGATTGACTTACCTCACATATTCATGTGTGAGTGAAGTATGGGTTGGAGAGAACTCAGGTCACATTGGGCCTCATTGGTCCCAGCCACTAGCTCATCTGATTCTTGCTTTGATACTCATCCCTAAAGCCATTGATTTTTATTCATGAACTGAAAAACATGATGTGGGGTAGTGATATCAATAATATGATATTTGGTTTTTAAATAATGTTAAATATTCTTGAGCATGCAATAACATTTTATATGATATATATGTATATACATACATATACATGTATATGCACACATATATGTTTATATATACATATACATGTATATGTATGTATATGTATACATATATGTTTATATACATATACATGTATACATGTATATATATACATATACGTATATATTGCACAAAGCTAACATTTTATGTGATATACATTTACACATCAGATAAAGCTATTCCTACTTCTTTTAGAACTTCATGGTTCTTTTTCATCTCAATAGCCAGTATTGCCATGCAAGTATTGCTGGTGTTACTGGTTTATAATCTGTCTAGAGGAGGGAAATATGCCATATAAAGACAGGTCACAGGGGGCAGAGATGAAGAGGGACGGTGGAGGGGAAGCCTCTGCCTGGCTGGCAGAAGGTAAAACCTCAGGATGAGAGGTAGCCAGTGGGAGGAGCAGAGGTCCGGATGGAGGGGAAGCCAGAGGCCACCCTCATGTTGGAGTAGAAAGGGCAGCAAGAAGACATGGTAGGCCTAGGTGAGATGTTATGCTAGTTACGTGAGTAGGTACTAGCTCAGGTTGTCCAGGTCTTACTTTCATTCTTCTGGTTGCCATATGAGTTGTTATGTGATTTCTGCTTCCTGTTTCTTCTCTTAAAACAATCAGACTCACCTCTTGAAGCTGTAGTGGAAGTTACAATTCTAGAACTGGTGTAGCAGCCTTTGCAGAAAAAAGACACTGACCAACCCCCAGTGTTCCTGTTCACTGTCTTCTCAGGCTTCCCTGGCCCACAGGGGGACATGTTGGAGAGCTGTCCCCCACTGTGCCTATCCCCTGAGGAAGGTCATAGAGATCTACATCTGTCAGGCCTAATTATAGTGGGGAGCACTTGTCTTGCGCCTGAAGTGGACACTAGCTTGGGCTTCCAGCGCCTACTCCTTAGACTGAGGGCAGCCATCCAGTTTTTCCTTTTCTTGACACTAGGCATTGTGTCTTGTTTCTTGGGTTTAGTTAGACTATAAATAATAGCCTTTTCTCTAGAGAATTGGCACTTCAGCCATAACTTTAAAGCAAATCAAATATTTAATCTTCCATGATGAAAATGAATGGGAAAGCCATAAAAACATTAAGCATTCATCTCCCAGTAACCAAACTCAGCTTAAAACCTAAATACACAAGCCTGAGCACAGGTGAAAATATGCCTTGGAGCTTTGTGTTTTCAAAACAGTTTAAAAAGTTGTAATGCCACCTAACATAATTTTCTATATTATTAACCTACTGACAAATTTTTTATTTATTATTTTTATTTTATGTATATGAGTGTTATGTCTGCATGCAAGTAAGTGCACCCGTGTCATGCAATGCCCATGGAGGACAGAAGAAGCTGTCGGATCCCCTGGAACTGGAGTTACGGACAGTTGTTAGTTGCCATGTGGGTGCTGGGATTTGAACCCGGGTCTTCTGCAAGAACAGTCGGTGTTCTTAATTACTGAGACATCTCTCCAGCACCAGCAATGTCTTGATTTTTGCTTTAATTTTATGTCACTAGTATTTTTTAAATCTTTGTTTTACTCCTTGAGAGATTCAGAATTCTATTACCTTTTAAGTCAGCACAAAAAGAATGACTTGAAAGCTTCCATTTGTTTTGGATTTAAACACAAAATCGAGTTGGCCAGCTTCAGCATCCTGTAGCCATGGACAGCCTGGGGGCAGTTTACCTTTATTTTATTTAATTTTAGGCTTTGCATATTCTAAGTAAGCATTCTACTGAGATATATCCCCAGTCCCACATTCTATTTTTAAATGTTGTCAAAAATTAAAAAGTTTTGCTGTCTGCTGTGTTGTCAGCGCCCCCAGCCATTCCCCACTACTTGCCCTTCTGGTGAATCTAGTCAGCATATCTAGAGGTCTTTGTTTTAGGATGGTCAGGTGTTCATCATCTAGCCGTAATCAGTTGTCAATATTCCTTTGGATAAGATTGGGGTCTGCTGTTCAATTTCCCAGTTCTATGCTGGGTTACTATCTGGGAATCCCTTTGGCCACCCTGGCCAACAACTCAAAAGAAGGTATCTTCTATCTGGCATTGTTGCTTGTCATGTAGCCTTTAGCTATACTATATGGACTCTTATGAAATTATATAGGCCCCTTTAATCTTTGGTTATACTTAACCCTTTGGGTGTTTAAGCTGTACAGTTGGTCCAGATAAATCGATTTATTTTTACTTTTAAGGTCGTTTGAAGATCTGTTCCTCAGGGGTCACATGGGCTTGGGAGGAGCCCCTGGCTCCTTTCTTTTACCAGTTCCACCTATGTGAAGATAAGATAGAGGTCCTGCTCGACCATGGTTGGCTTCGCTTGGAAGCATGGAGGAAATGATTCCTCTGTGTTGACCCTCCTCTTTATACACTGGACACTGGTTCAAGTCCATCTGGTGGGGTCTCCTCAGCCTCCTTGATCAAGAGGACAGGTGACCCACCACCATTATAGGACATTTTGAGATGCTCATAGTCCCCTGGAACTAGGTGACCTAGGAGGGCTAGGAACAAAAAGTAT